CAGAAAGGGATGCCTTGGATATCAACTCAGAGCAAGTTTCATTGAGGCCACATTGTCAAGGAGCCATTGTAATCTGACTCTCCGTCCTGAAAGGATTAAGTCAACCAAACAGTTAGCAGCCTTCAAAGCCACGACTCTTAGAGCATCGTGATAGCTTGGAAATGCATTAGATTTTTTATGCTGAGTAATGCGTTGAAGTGCCCTGGAAACGAGGTTCCCAGAGCCGGCCTCATGCTATCCTCCCTCTCCAGTACACCAATCGATTGTCCAAATCGGTCAATTGATTAATGGTTAGATTAGACAGTCCGTCTAGGTGTGCAACATACGTCCTGGCCAGGCAGAGCACACTATGCTCTCACGCAAGGGGATAGGCCGTTCAACTCTCAAGAGTGTGTTAGTGCCATAGAGGTCGCATTAAGAATGAGCCAAAGAGAGCGCATTCCATTTACTTGTGAGGCGCCCATTCCGTGTATCTGCTGGGTGATGTTGGACCGGTTCATATATGTTGTATACCACAGGTTTTCATGAAGGTTCATATGGCCGATTAGGCGTATGCGTTGACTGTATATGCATGGGCAAAGCGGTAGATGAGATGAGGCCGACGGGTGTATGTTGGTTCTCTAGGCACTCGTTTGACGGTGACTGTGTGGTGGATTCGAAAGTGGTCTATCAGACCGATGCGTAACGTTCATGTGCGGTGATAGTGTGGACAGGACTCAATGGTGTGAATGAGAGAGGAATAAGCTTTATTTTGAAAGTATCAGTCTAAAATTTTCAGCAAGAACGTCCTCCATTCGCATGGCCAGAATTCAGATTTATAGATGATAAGAGAGTTAATGGGTTTGTATAAAGACTGCGCAATCATTATAGGGACAGTTCAAGTCTCAACTCTTGTATTTCGGCCTCTTCATATGTTATGTATCGTACCAGAAATGAAAATACAAAATGCTGAAATCTCTGGAGCCAGGGCGCATGGGGCGGAAAGACTTCGGAGCCATTAATTCGGGGTGAAGGAGATGGACATCATTCTGAATTCGATCAGCGAATTGCTCGAATGTTGTAAAATGTTGTTGTACTACAATATCAGCTAAAGACATGAAGAGCATCGGCAGCAGAAGAGAACATTCGGAGAACAGGTTTTAAAATGACCATATCATTTCTAAGCAAGACAGGTAAGACAACCAGAGAATAATAAAGAACGAGAGGAAGAATGCAAGCATCTCTAAGTTAGGAGTTGAGCTATGTGATTAGTGGGTAGACGGCGAATGTAATAAACAATTTTACGACTTTAAGCGAAAAAGGTTTCAAAAGGAAGGACAACGGCAATATGGGAAGAAAGTAACATCAAAGTAAGGAAAGATAATACTTCACTTGGAAGAACGCCAAAAGATTCAAAAATGAGAGAGGGTGGCAATCAAAAAACACACTGAGCAGATTTCTTTTCATTAGGCAGAAAATCACTTTTCAATGACCGTGCAGAGACATGAGCTAAGCCATCCTTCAGTAGGTGACGATGAGTCTGATTTTCTGCAGGATGGTCAACAACCATAAAATCAGCAGACTTAGCAAATAGGCAGTCATTGCGCCATCTCAGGTCATCAGTGTGACGTAATAAGAAGAGGAAAAAATTGAACCTTATAGGTCTCCGCAGATATACTGATAAACAGAAGTTTTTTCTTGTCCGATTAGACGAATTGCGTACGGAAGATAAAATAACCTTCAACTTGAGAAACGATTCAGTCAGGAGGGCAGCATCAAAGGGTTTTGTTGAGGAGAAGATAGCACGAGACTGTGTTGAAAGCAGAGAAGTAGTCGAGAAATACGCATGCGTACGCACGGCAACAATTGTTTAGCTCTCTTAGAACAAAGTGAAGCACGAGAGCAACTGTATTCAGGGACTATGGCGTACTGATGACCGACAACGACCGTGAAACAGTTGCCTGCGTCTGGCCTGTTGCACCCTTTGTGAGTTGCTCATGTACTTAAGGCTTTATATGCAAATCGTAAAAGGTCAAATAAATTGGAGAAGAGTAGGACAATGACGTCTAAGGGAACTCATCCAATTGCGTGCTCCTTCGGCTTCCAGCTTCCCTATGAATATATTCGCCAAAAAACAGAAAAGGGGGCGAGCCCATTACTACTCCGTCCATCTGCCTATACAGATTATTGTCAAATAGAAACTGCACGTTTAAGGTACACCTCAATAACAATTCCTTGAGAGCATCCACTGGCATTCCTATATCCTGCTGATTGTCGACAATGAAATGACAGAGGTAGTTGACCGTTTCCATGACTGGTACGTTCGCAAAAACTTACGAAAGGAAACTCAGTTAAGGACATGTCAAATAGAATTTTTCAAGTCTGATTTTGAAAATAGAACTTCACGTCTCGTAAGCCAGGTAAACTAAATAGAACAACCAGATTACTTCATCGTAACCAAATAAGGATAAGCACCCAAATAAATTACGAAACTCTAACTGATATTATTAGACCTGGCAAAAAAACAGCCGACTTAAGCTAGCATAGTTAAAGATATTCATGCAATAATTTAAGGCACAACATTCCTTGCACTGCAATGAGCTGGTGTTCCAACGAAATAAAGAAAGTTGGTATAGAAAAGTCTCAATGCAAAATTATTGATAACTTCCACTATAAAGCCGCTCAACACTTACTTGTCCTTATGATTAATCCGAGTAAGCTCTAGACTGCATCAAATAGAAAGAAAAATCAGAAATACTGGCAAACGTTCCATTTAATCGTGGGGCACAACAGGAATCCTAATAAGAAAGGATTTTAACGGTTTCTGCCAAAGTCTTTGATATGAGAATTACTTTGTCAGACGGACAGTGTTCCGCGAGGCTACAGTTCCTGATTTAATGCAACTCTTCCTAGCAGATATGACTGTTCGAATGTAAATTACAAAGAATAACGTCATGCAATACCGAAGACAGCACAATAATTAAACACAATAGTGCTGTGCGCCACCAACCGACAAGTTCGACTTCTTCACTCAGGTGGAGTAGAACATACTGTCTTAGAAGACACTAGGGTCCTAGTGAAAAGAACAGTGTTCTGTTTAAAATAAAGGGATTTAAATACTGTGTAATAAAATGCCAACAAATCAAGGCTACCGATACTTTGTTAGATGAATCAATTCGACTGCAAATTTCCAGTCCATAAACAGCTGTATGGTCACATATGTAACATTTCCGAAGACACTAACCATGACAACGTGAGTCATAATGGTCGAGAGACGCTCACCGATCGTTTCTACGGAAATCACTCGTCCCGTTGTGCATTAGGGCTCTCTCTCGAGTCCAACCAGCAGCCGCACAGCGGTGAATGATATAGACAGAGCAGCATTACCGACATTGACAAGGGAGACTGTCAACGTGAGCTATGTTAGGGTAAAATAGCAACAAATTTAGTATAGCTTGACAAACACTTGAACACGCCTTATTTTACGCACTGCTGGCATGCGTGGTGCATGTCTTTTTCATCACTGCGTACATACTGTCATTTGCATATGTTGAAAATTGCACATTTTCTTAGCACTTTTAAAGCCTAAAATGGTTCTTTCTACTTTTTTTACCCCATCATAAAAACGCACAATTGCTGGAAGGTCACTGGCAGCACAGATCCTGATCTGGTACACGAATCACCGGCTAACACGGGGGGAACCATGCTATGACTCTCATGAGGCGGATCAAAACACGCGGCAGGCGCCGAAGGAACTGAACACGAAAAGTTCAGTATAAATGTGACTTAGCAACAAGGACCTACTTTTATCAATCCGATCATCAAGCGTCACTTCTGCAGCCAATCACGGAAAATGAAGGGAAGAAACCCTCATACTTCATGAACTTTTATTTAGTATATCAGCTTAACCGACGCGGAGGGCGATTTCCCCCATGTGCTACGCAGCATGACGGGTTCAAGGGCAATGACTTAGGCGTGAATTACAGTTTGATTTCAAGTGGTATTAAACTCTCACAGAATCTTCCGCATGCCCTCCTCCCTCACCCGCTTTGACCCACTGTCATTATCGAGTCGAGACGACCGGAGGCGGGATCGGTGGTAATGTCTGACAAGACAAATTAGCCCGTTTGCGCGTACAAGGTACCGCTGGCAAACACACAAATGATCAGGTTCCACAAAAATAAATGGGTTTTGATAGCAAGCACATGGGAGTGCGTCCTTACTCTCCGTCCTGAAAGGACCAAGTTACTCTGTCAAGGTCAAATAATGATGCGACAAAGTGCAGATAAACCAGATACAGTAGGTGGACTAACTCACGGAAGGCCAACTGAAATTTCCAAATACGTAACATTAATCAGTGTGCAGCACAATTCTATAATAATTCACTTACTTCAGGATGCCGGCTTTCAAACGGAATTCCTTCCGACTGCATGCAAAAACCACACTCTGTACAAAATGAATACTAAAGTAGCATGCATTTTTCTCATTGACTTTCGATGCCCCTAAAAATTCAATTATATTTCATGGAAAGCAAGTGTAAGAATATTCATTCTTATGCTTATTCGGTAGAACATCACGTTTTCTTCAAATTTTATATTCGAAGATGCGCATGATTTGACTTTGAAAAAGTTTTCAATTGTGAAATTTTTTAATACCTTAAAGTGACCGTTCATAAAACGTCATGTCTGCGCATTTACCATGTGGCATGTAAAGTTAACAATATGGTTCAAATCCACTGCTAAATTTTAAGAACCCTATTTGATCGCCTCTTAATGCCGTAAAGAAATGTGTGGTTTTCCTTACGCGAAAAATAAACGGCTTGTAGTTTGAAAACCTTAAATCCAAGTGTGACGGCACTGCGGGTGCAAAAGACCAGGACCTGGCGATCGAGACAATTGAGCTGCTATTACAAAGCACATACGATCAAACGGAGAACCGTCTTGGACACGCCCCAAGTCCTTCAGCTGCTGAAGTTCTGTCTCAGGACGTACTTCACGTCCGACGGGGTAATCTACGAGCAGATGAAGGGCACACCAATGGGTTCACCGATTTCGGGATTCATCGCCGAGGCGGTCCTGAAACGGTTAGAGTCGCTGGTCTTCCAGCACCACAGACCGAAATTCTGGGCCCCGTATGTGGATGATACCTTCGTCGTCATCGAACGGGATCAGGTGTTGACATTCCAAGAGCATCTCAACGCCGTCTTCCCGGACATTCAATTTACGATGGAGGAGGAAGAGAACAACCAGCTGGCCTTCCTGGATGTCCTCGTATGCCGCAAAGATTGTGGTGAACTAAAAACCAAAGTGTTCAGGAAAGCGACAAATACGATGCAAGTACTGAACTTCAACAGTAACCAGCCAATCAGCCACAAACGCAGTTGTGTAAGGACGCTCTATCGGCATGTCGAAACGCATTGCATTGAGCCGGAAAACAAAATTGCTGAACTACAATACCTCCGACGGGTCTTCAAAGCCAATGGCTACCCGCGCAACTTCGTCGACCGGTGCATACGCAAAAGGGACGAAAGGCCTAACCGCACGGACACCAAATCTTGGCGGGCACTTCCGTATGTCAAGAACATTTCGGAAGCTTCCGGCCGCCTTCTCGCACCACTTGGGGTTGGAGTGGCACACAGACCGGAGGCAACCATCAGGCGTCTGGTCATAAAACCGAAAGACCCACTGCCACGGCTAGAAACGTCTGGAGTCGTTTATCGGATCTGGTGCAGTTGCGGACAAAGCAACTACGTCGGAAAAACCGGAAGACAGCTCCGAACGAGAATGGCCGAACACGCGGCAGCGGTGCGGAGAAATGACGCCAGCTCTCAAGTTGCGGCTCATTCGACGAGATCCGGCCACACATTCAAATTCGATGAGGCCGAAATTCTCGCAAGAGGTGACAACCGCGTGAGCCGGGAGCTACTGGAATCATGGTTTACTGGCCCCCAGTCCATCGACAAGTGCAACGATCTTCCGACTCCATACTCCGTGCTAAAACTTCGCCTAGGCGGAGTAACAAGCCATGCGGGGAGCGCAGAGGTGAACACGTTTCCCAACACCGGAATCGGTGCGTCAGATGGTCGAGCAATCATTACGCCAACATCCAACGCACGTGATGAAATTGCAGCAATTATCGACTCGAATGTCGGCCATCAAGCAATGATCACACCAAGTACGACGATCCCGGATGAAGGGGATAGCCGTGAATGTTCATAGGTATGCGGTAGCATGGCTACTGCATCCTATAGATACCGCAGCCCCTTGTGCAACAACCACCCGTTTCTGCTTTTTGTCTCTGATGATGGATTCGAGTAGGAATCCGAAACGTCAGGCTAATAAAGCTCTTGTCCCGGCGATCGTGTCTCCTTCTTCAAGACTACTTCCTGGGACTCATCTCTTCGCTTCTATTGGGTTCAAAAGCATTCGGGATTTAGAAGGGTTTTAAAAATCCGAATAATACCTTTTCTTCGAGGATAATATTGGAAGAATACGTAATTTTCTACCGAGTGAGCAAAAGAATGAATATATTTTTGCATGTGTACCATGAGTGATTGTGGAATTTCTAAGGGTTTTGAAAATCTATGAGAAAAATGCATGCTACTTATGTAGTCACTTTGTACAGAGTGTAGTTTTTGCATGCAGCCGAAAGAAAGTCCGTTCGAAAGCTGGAATCTTAAGATAAGTGAATTATTATTGAATTATGCTGCATGCTGATTAGTGTTACGACCCTACTTAATTACTCTTTTCGAAACGAAAACGCATTTGGAAATTTTGGTTGACATTTCATGATTTATCCCACCTACTGTATCTCAGAAAGACTGTCTTTACTGATTTGACGGACTAAAATTTCTTGACATAAAATGCGATACATTCACAATGTTAGTCCTTAAATGCGAGGTTGTTCGAAACCGTTAATTAAGCGACGAATGGCTCGTAAACTCTGTTACGTTGAATGAATTTAATAGAAGACGTCTGGGCATTCCGTACACTAAAGACGTTTACACCCAAAACGAGACGGTTCACTGTTAAAATCTCGCATAATTCACGTTGGTTATGCCAGTAAATTCCATCGGTATGACCCTGCTTTCGGACGGCTCGACTACGGTTTCAAGTATATACTGTTGGAAAGGAATGACCAGCAACAATGATCGATGTTTAACTTTGCCACTACATTTAGATTCCGCCTAGCTGCCTGCAACTGCTTCGATGCAATCACGCAAAATGCAATCGTCTCCGAGGCGCACTGGTTGAAAACTGCTGATGCTAAATGAGGAATCCGGAAATATTAACCCCTGAAAAAGTGCAGAACATCGACAGGATTCACCGCGATGAATGCTCCTATAGCGAAATGACCGCATTGCCCCAATTGTCGGGCTTCTTGCTTTTCCATCAATTCAAAATTTAGGAACTTTAGTCATTATATACCAGGCCCTGCGTCGCGCTAACATAACGAATTTCGAGATAAACCTACCTGAGGTTGCAAACGGGCAGACAGCGCTGTCATCGGGTCGTTTGTTTGGACAATGGTAACTTTACAGTACTTAAGAGTGTGGATGCAATGACTGGCAAAGTGAAGCAGCCTGTATATGCATGCTACACGGAGTTCATATGAGTGTGGATGTCGTAAAGGTTACATTAAGAAGGAGCCGTTTCAGTCTATTTGTTAGTTCTGTTTATAAACGTCCGACTGTGTCAGGGGACAAATTTCGAGGTCACAGCTTTTAACGCGTCCCGAAAGACTCGAAGCGCGTTTGGTTGTTTATATTGAGTAAATCAGCATCGGCTCCGACTAGCACTGACTTCCCCATAAATCAGTGGTTTATTCAGGCATTTGCGTCAAAAAGAATGCATCTTTCAGGCTGCCAGAATGGGCCGAGTCATTCTGGCGGGCAGGGGCGAGGTATGGCGTTTGGGGCATTTTTTCGTATGTTCTTCGATGGCTTGTTGGATGTCATGAAATCGCGACCAACTTGCCGACTGTGTGAGTGATAACACGTTCAGGGTTCATTTTCTACTTTCGTTCACTCCGAGGGACTGCCTGCTCATCCCGAGAGGGCGGAAAAAACTATTATGTTATGTGCTTATTCCCTTATCAACCAACCTCTTACCACTTATTTAGAAACAAAAACATTCCGTTTTATGTTGTCCAAAAACGTTTTGGTTGGAGCCTAAAAGAGCACAAATCAGCAATTCATAGGCTAAACTCAAACTCTCAACCAGCAACGCACGTTGGAAAAACTGGGAATATTTTCGATCTCCAGAGAGCCGTCCTCTTAGTCCGGGGCACCAAAAAGCAGAACGACTAACTCTCGAGGCGTTGTTCTCCGATGGTCACTCCATCAACAGGCATCTGGACCTTCTTGCAGCTTACAAAGTCCTACGTCATCAAGTCTGTAGATCTCAGGACCGAGTAAACCCACTGAACTTAAGAAGGCCAAATATAGACAGGCTGACGGGAAGTCTACTCGGCGAGGAAGAACCACTAGACCGACCACCCGAGGAAGGTTCAATCACCTTCCCCCGACGAAGCGGTGACTCACAAAGCACACACGTAAAACGTCCGCCAACCATCCCCTGGAGTGGCCGAAGCAGCGAGTGAAGAGAAAAATCGATCATCAAGAGGCCGACAAACGCGACATCCCACTTGGAATTTCTGATGGATTAAGTACCTTTTACGCTTTGACAATGGGGAGCCGACTAAGCTTTTCAAAACGTCAGCGCCTAAATCAACCCGTTCCGTCGGGCCCATCTTTTTCGTCAAATCATTAACGTGGATCTCAAAACTTTGCCGATCTGGAGCCTATGTGTTTACAGGTTCGAGGTTTTATTCCACGGACGCTTTTTGGAACGTAATAGGCAAGTATTCGGCTCGAGACTACTATGCTCCATGTTGCGGTCAGATTTCATGATTAGATATTCGGTATTCGTGTGGATACAATGATTAATCCGCTTCAGCGTGAAAATTCGATATATTTATTGCATCTAACTCCTTGTTTTCGCTATATACGCTATGCTGATCGATGTTATGGCGTCAAAAATAACTAAGTGTGCTACCACTGCGACTGCACTTACCAGGCCAGGATGAGTTTCGAAGAATACCCAAAAACCAACTGCAACAGCTGCATTAAGAAACGCGGGCAAGCGCTCTGAAATAATTTTGGCAAGTTTCCACTTCGAATGCACATTTCGCTGAAGAGTTGACGACTCCAAAATCACTGCCATTGTAATATCTGCCACCAAGGTATTTCGACCATCGGTAGAGACTGCATAAATGTCCCTTCTCCCTTAGCAGGACATGGGAACAGAAACGGCCCGTAATTCAGGTGACTGCATTAAATTCCAGGGAAATTGGGGTTGGGGTTAAGGTTAGGGTTTCCTTTAAGGTTTGCGTTGGGGTAAGCGTGAGGGAACGGGGACTTAGCACAAGGTCGCCCGCATCAAGTTGGCGGGACGTTCCGATTTCCATATCCTGTCTAGAGGGCAATATAAGAAATTCCGGCCCAGTCATCATCTTAACCGCTAAGACAAACTAATTTAAATGGTTACTACCGGCTGTGGTAGGTGAACTACAGTGGATGGGTGTTTCTGCTGATTCTGATCTAAAACGGGATCAAGTCTAGTTTTTGTTGGTCAGGGAACCAGTACTTGTGTGGCATCCTAGAGCTCTTTTAACCCAGTCATGTCATGCGAAAACTGTAGATTTGAGAAGACGGAATGTGAACGATTCTACACACGTCAACCTCATCCAAGACTGCGAAAGTCGAATCTCTTTCTTCAAAAATCTCTTCTCAAGAAGGCAGCAGCGCCTCCTTTACTCCCTGTACAGTAGATGTGCTAACTCATGAAATGTCAACCAAAATTTCGAAGTGCGTTCTCGTTTCGAAAAGATAAATTAAGTAGTGTTGTAAAACTAATCATGATGCAGCATAAATCTATAAGGATCCAGTTACCTCAGGGTGTCGGCTTTCGAACTTATTTTCGGTTGCATGCAAGATCTATACTCTGCAAAGAATGACTACTTAAGTAGTACGCAATTTTCTCATTGATTTTCGATGCCCTTGAAAATTCAATTATATTTCATGGAAAACATGCATAAAAGTATTCATTCTTTTACTCATTCGGTAGAAAATCACGTCTTCTTCCAATTTCATACTTAAAAGAAGAGTATAATCCGGTTTTAAAAAACTTTTCTAATTCCCGAATAATTTTGAACTCGACCTGCTGTTACACTTGCATTCAGGGTTTCAAAACTACAAGCTGTATATTTTCCGTGTACGGAAAACCATGCATTTCTCTACGGTGTTAGGAAGAGACCATATGAGGTTCATAAAATTAAGCAGTGGATTTGAGCAATATTGTTAACTTTACAAGCTAAATTCGTAAATGCAGATACATGACGTTTCATGAACAGCCATTTAACGGTATTAAAAAATCTCACAATTATAAACTTTTTTAAAACCGAATTATACTCTTCTTTTGAGTATGAAATTGAAAGAAGACGTGACTTTCTACCGAATAAGTAAAAGAATAAATACTTTTATGCATGTTTTCCGTGAAATATAATTGAATTTTCAAGGGCATCGAAAATCAATGAGAAAATTGCATACTACTTAAGTAGTCATTCTTTGCAGATTATAGATCTTGCATGCAACCGAAAATAAGTTCTTTCGAAAGCCGATACCCTGAGGTAACTGTGGATCATTATAGATTTATGCTGCATCATGATTAGTTTTACAACACTACTTAATTTATCTTTTCGAAACGAGAACGCATTTCGAAATTTTGGGTTGACATTTCATGAGTTAGCACATCTACTGTAATTCTGCTGGTCGGCGCTTAACATACCATGCCGTCTTCGAATTCACGGCCTAAAGTAGCCATAAACGACAAGCCAACTTGGTTCCAGCAACTGCGATCCAGACCGTCGTGCCAATTTCCCAATCCACCTTCTTTAGTTTTCCTGAAGAATAAGAAAATCAAACACAGGAAGTTGAGTTCCCTTGAGCCGAAGGACCTTCGTAGGTACACCTTAATTTGACAGAGTGAAAACTATGATGACCCTGCTCCGGGTGCCTACCAGAAACACAGGCCTCTGGCGCGTACTTGCATATGCGTAACAGCGGCAGTCTAGTTTTCGGCCAATCACAGCTAGTCAAACCGACCAATCAACCTCAGGGCTGAGGCGGACATGTCCTAGCTCAGGACACTTCAACGCCTGTCCCAGGAGTACACTGACGAATTCTCTGACGGCTCCGAATGAGCACCTTTCATCAGACTGCAGAATTGGTTCAATCTACTGGCCATTCATTACGTAAAAAACACAATGCATCCTCTACTGGCGCCTAACATCTCCTCTCATTATTTGAGACCTGGTATGAAGATCGTGGCGGCTCAAATCTGCCCATGCCCCTACCAAAAGCTAGAATGGTGACCCCGACATGATCGAATGAAAAATACCAGAAGCGAGTGAGGCCAATAACCACGAATTTCCTCTTTTTTTTCCTGCATCACCTTTAGACGGCCACGATAGAGAGAATAGACGTACCGACATCTTGTCGTGAAATGGAAAGACGTCATCATACTGTCTCAGCTCATCCAATCCAGGCCTTATTTCCAACAGAACTCTGTAGATAAGTTTCTCCTTCCTTTCTAGCATCCGAACTCTTTTTCCAATATCCGGCAAAGTGACGGGTTGGTTGCTGTACCTGATTTCACTAACAACTGTCTTTAATCAGTCTTTCCGTTGAGAGATACTGAAACTGGAAAGCGTTGGGTTCATCTTCTTAAATTTATGCGCAGCACACCGTAAACACGACCCCGACGGAAGAGCTATCTGGATGTGCGTCGGCAGAAGCACCATGACCCCAATCGTGCATAAGAAAGTGATAAATGCACATGATTTCAGTCATTGAGATTGCCGTCTTTGGCAGTCATTAATTTTACACTCGTGGCCAACAGACCAGGGACGATTCACCTTTGCTTTTTGGACTCCATAGCTCTGCAAATCACTGAGTTACTGACAAGTTTGTTGGTTTTGCTACTTCTTGGCACGAATTCTCATCAGGAACATCTTACTGGCGTTGACACATTTAAATACTTACGGTGGTTTTGTACCAACCAGGCTTTTTTCAGTAGCAGCTGGGAGTGCTTAAACTGCCGTTTATGCGCAAAAAGGAAAGGAATGCGATAATTTGTCCCAAGACTACGACCTTTGACAATTTCATGAGAAAATGGAACCGCGGGTAAACATTTAGAATTGAGCTTTTTTGGGCTCTAGCTCTCAGATCAGTCTCCATTCACTTCTAGGTAGACATGCCATGTTGAAACACGACCCACACGATTCCTCCCTCAGGTAAATGTGGCAGTAGCATATCAGCAATGCCGGGAATCCCAGGATGGCCTCGCATCAGCTAATCCGTAACGGACTTCATGAAATATTAAATAAAATTATGAAATCTCATTTCAAGTAGGAAGGATTATCCAAGTAAAATCGTTATACTGATTATCATACGCAGAATTTCATGACATTACGGACACGCCAGCGTCTTGGTCCTTGAATGAACTTCCTCCGACCGTTTGCTAAGACCGCAGTCGGCAAAAAGTGAGTACTTGTGTAGCATTAATTGTTTCTATTGACTTTCGTTGCGTTTATAAATTCAAAGATATTTTATAAAAATGAGCATAAAAACCGTCTTTCTTGTGTTCATTTAATAGATGCTTATGTTTTATTCGGATTTTATGCACGAGGGAAGGATATATTTCGATTTCAAGAGTTCGTAATAATAAGATTTTTTAAGTACACTCAAATAACCCTGCATATGACCGTTTACTTAGTGATGGTGATGCCTACACTCCCAAAAACAAGATCCAGCCAATCACTGCAGGCCACGTGAGTTTTCTCTACGGCGCTGTCATCTTAATCGTGGCGCCTCTCCATTGGATTTTCCCCTCGGACCTGATCAATCTGCGTATTCGAATTATCCACCAGCTCGCCTGGAATGTTCTTCCCGAAGGATATTGGGCCGAATGCCGGCGAACCACAGTAAGGCCTTATAAGTATGCGTTACTTCCAGTTAATCTCCAGTTGCAATTGCTTTCAAGTACCAGGCCGGGTCATAACACCTAATGTTCCCCACCAGGTATGCGACATGACCCACATAAATCGCAAAGTTTTCTTATCCTTATATGGTATCTTTTAATAACATAAGGAGATGCACGAGTTTTCCTATGCATGATTTTGTATACAGCTTATGATCTGGAAAAAACTAGTCGCAAATGCAAAGCCAAATCAATCTCAAAGTTGTTTGGGAATTGAGAAACATTCTAAAACCAAAGTATGCCTTTCCCTCGAGTACGCTGTTTGATGAATATCTTTCTGCCCGTTTTTAAAAATATATTTGATGCTATAAAGGCAACGAAAGTCAATAGAAACAGTGAATGTTATTTACGTACTCATTTTTGCGACTGTGGTTTTAGCAGGCGATCGGAAAGAAGTGGATTCGAAAGCCAAGCTCCTGGTGTGTTCGTGATATCCCACTTAGGTAATACTTCCTTATCGAAAAGGGATTTCAGAATTTCGGATAACATTTAATGAGGTCGGTAATTGAATGTATTCATTTGTCTAATGCTGTCGACGCACACGATATCACATGCAACTTTTTCACGTGTTTACTGGTTTTACTATCGTACACTGCAATAGGTTTTGTGCCCTTCAACAGAATCTAGGTCTACAGTGCGCAACCAGTGCCTCCAGAAGCTAATATGACATAGATAAACAGAGAATGCCATCAGTACCTCCACTGTCTGACCAACGGTTTCGGGTGAGAAGTGCGCATAACGCCATGTTCAAGTATTGCTACTCAAGGTCGTCACCCATCGAACGCAAGTCATGAAGCCACCGCCTACCCCACATGCGAAGTGTGTCAACCAGGTCGACATCAACTAGTGCAACTTTAAAGTGTCGATCAACATCTAACTGACGCGCCTACGTACTCGGTTGGCTGGCATTACAGCCCATTGCCAACACACCCAGGCCCAGTCGCGCACGTAAGCGCAGACAAACCACCTCCGTGCTCTGGAGAGGTGGACCATTACGTAAATTTGGTGCAGATGGCATTAGTGCTCTTTGCTTTTGACCTGCGGAAACCCTCTTTGTTCACGAATGGGACCGTGACTGATGACTGTTACTGGCAAGCGTGCAGTAGGGCAAATTTCAGCCTTTTTACTCGCAAGCGATGTTGACTGATAGGATCTCAATGATAAGGAACTTCAAAATTTGTCCATATCATAAACAACAAGTGGTTAGGTTCGCTGTTTGAGGGAAGAATGGTGACTTTTTTCTTAAAGATGTGGCAGTTTGGGATTAATTTATTAACTGAAGTCAGCGTCTTTGCCGGACTTTTCTATTGAAAGTAGAAATCGTTTTACCGAAGCTGTTCCACGTGCTGGTTATGACAAACGGTTTTAAGCATCTGGCGCGTCTTAAAATCCGCTCACTAAGACATTCAGCTAAAGCTAGGCCGCATAGAGGTGGAATTTAGGAAGGAGTGTCTTCATCCGGTGCCACTGTCGACGTGCTGGAAAGCCTTTCGTGCAGCTGATTGTGTCGTGTGCTAGGTAGGCAAAATTTGTCTGGAACATTTTAGTCATGAAAGAATTTTCGATGGCACATGATTACTTTTCACAGCTGCTGTCGAAGTTACCGAACGGGATACAGATGTCTTCCAATGGATTTGAATACTATGCCCGGATTAACGCCACTTCAGTAAAGGCTTGTCAGCTCTAAAGTGTTATCTTTTTACTGACAACCGCTGCGTGCAAATAAATCAGCGAGTAGTTTTCGTAAAGATCACGAATGTGTCTAGTAATATGCATAGAGTAAAAAGGATATATTTAAAGTAATGATCTGAAAAAAGATAAAAACGCCAAAAAAGTTAATCTGCTGGGATATGAATTAGTGTCTCTAACAGTTTTGACCGAAAATACTGAAACCTGAACAATAATTTTTGCAAATAAATTCGGATGAATTAGCGCGTAAGTTGCATTAGGGTTTTTTCTTGGAAATTAAGCTATAGGAGACTGCGATATACTCGTATAACACTTGCCACGCCAGTGAGGTGTTTGGCTTAAAAGCATAGATGATGTGGGGCAGGAGAGTCACTGGCGTCAGCCGCAGAATGCCATCTAGACATTCGCAGGCGTTTTATGTTATATGCTGCTTCATGTGTCTAAATGAGGACGAGTGTCATTTTTGTCAAAAGGTATTTATCAAACGATCTCGGACACCTTTACGGGTAGAAGACAGCACAACCACTCTTGAGACTTCGAAGGCGAGTTCATTAAATTAATTACAACTAGAGGTTTATTACAAATTTCTGTTTTAATTTTATTCTCTGACACATAGTGGTCTCTTTTCGTACGATTTTATGCGGTGAGATTCTATCGGAATGTTAGTAAGTCGTCGCAATAGAAAGTCATTTTCGACGACTCAGATAGTAACGATTTAGGAGCTCCTCAACATTGTACTCCAGTGCCTTTGAATAAAATTGCGTCCCGATCTGTTTCAAACAACTATGAACACTTATTAAATACAGTACTTTAGATCAGAAACAGTTTTAACTAGACGTTTTGCATAAAAAACACAGTACATCTGCTTTGTCGAGCCCAGGCTCATAAGTCTGACGCACTAGTGTTTAACTAAAATTATTCCTGGGGCAGTCGACTATATCTGGAGTACATATACATAATATATGCCTATTATTAGTAGCCCTGGTGGACAGGACCAGATACCAATATTAATGTGTCCGAAAAATAAAATGACTCAAAAGATACGAAGGTTCCTTGGAATGGGATAACTGCATCTTCCAAATTTATGTACTTTTGTCAAAAGGTATTCTTATGACATTAGCCAATCCATTTTATATCTAAAATGCTTGCCCGGTCCACTAAAAGCCTGGAAGAAGAAAAGGCAACATAAGTTGCTTTACACATGAGCTGAAGTCTAACTTTTGCATGTTTTGCATGAGTACACTGTGGGGTCCCAATGTCTGCCAAACGCTATATCTTCTTTACCCCTCTTCTGTAGACATAGTCTTTGGACTTCTCGAATACTTTACCTCTGTTGTATTCAAGAACCACTTGATTTCCTCCAGAGAGACGGATAATCGGTAGGTAAATTTAAAGCGGCTGCGGATGAGGCAAAAAAAAATGCATGGTTAACTGACCAGCGCTTACCTTGTTATGCTTGTACTCTATAACAGCATTCGACTATATTTATAACACTGTCCTAGTCCGCAAAACGCTCGCAAATCAATTCACGGCACTTATTATTTTTTTAAATCACCGAAAAAACTAAAATCAAAAACTAAGAAGTTTCTAAGAAGAATTCCACGCACGCTGGATAAGAATAGGAAATTAAAGATAAAACATCATCTCTGAAAACAGAAAGTGAGCAGTGGGGAGGTTTAGTGCATATATTTTTGTATCATACCTGAAAAGCGATTTTTGAGAGACGTTCGTGCTGGTGATGGCAGAGAGACAGTTTTGAATTTTACAGAACTCTAATATGTACATGTCGGAAATTTAACAGAATTGCTGTAGATCTCCACTCAGTCAAATACTTACAGCAGGTGGGCTAAATCATGAAATGTCAACCGAAATTCCGAAATATGTTTTCGTTTTGAGAAGATTAATTAAGTAGGATTTTAAAACTGGTCATCGTGCAGGGTAATTCTATAATAATTCAGTTTCCTCAGGATGCCGGCTTTAGAACAAACTTCTTTTCGGCTGCATACAAAAACCATGCTCTGTAAAAATGACTACTTATGTAGCATGAATTTTTCACACTGATTTCAATGTCCATAAATATTAAATTTTATTTCATGGAAAAATGCTTAAAAATACTCATTTTTGCTCATTCGCTAGAAAATGATGTCTCCTTCCGATTTTATAATCGAAGAGGGAAAACATCGGCTTTCAAAGACTTTTCTAATTCCCGATAAATTTTGAATCGGATCTGCCGTTGAACTTGCATTCAGAGCTTCCAAAATACAAGCCGTATAATTTCCGCGTAAGGAAAACCGTACATTTCTTTACTGTACTAAGACGAGACCATATGGTGTTCATAGAACTTAGCAGTGGATTTCGGCCATAAATCATAACTTTACAAGCCACATTAGCAAAGGTAGAGACACGTTGATTTATGGACGGGCATTTCACGGTATTAAAAAATCGCATAATTAGAAAATATTTAAAAGCGAATTATACGCCTCCTTTGAGCATAAGATTAGAAGACATAATTGTTTACCAAATAAGTAAGTGAATGAGTATTTTTATGCGCTTTCCATGAAATATAATTGAATTTTTAAGGGAATCAAAAACCAGTGGGAAAAATGTACGACACATTAGTAGTCATTTTCACAGACTATAGTTTTTGCACGCAGCCGGAAAGAAGTTTGTTCGAAAGCCGGCATCCTGACGTGACTGAATCATTATAGAAGTAGGCTGCAAGAAGGGTAATTTTACAACCCTACTTAGAAGATCTTTTTGAAACGGAAACGCAATTCAGAATTTCGATTAACATTTCATGAGTTCGCACAATTATTGTAGGCAATATGTTATCATGTTACGAAATCTTGAGGACACATTCATGATATAAAGATCCGTAGCACAGTAAATCTGAAGTTATATGAGATCGCTGGATGCCTTTACACTGAGTTTGAATTTGCGGTAGTTGCACCCAATGTCCACTAACATTTCGCTAATTTTCACTCTCAGCTAATACTCAGAAGTGCAAAAAGAGATAGTTAAGGATGGCAGGGACAAAGATTGGGCTCAAACGCTCAGACAAATTATCAATAAGCAATCGCAGAAAAACAGTACAATAATTTGAAGAATAGTTAGCTAATTGGATAAAAACAAACCTACAAATCACCCTATTTCTGTAATTTCTAATAAAATTATCTATTGGAAAAGAACAAAGATGTGCACACAGGCTTCGTAGATTAGGAGCACCGACATTGATGGAATCCTGCGAAAGAGGTTTAGAGTAGAAACGGCCTATACAAAATAATGCACTACAAGTGGGTTAAGCGATTTGATGCAAACGATAATGGCGTTCATATAGGACAATAATAATAAAGCAAAATACTGAGTAGCACTAATTTACTCAAGTGTGGAATATTAAAATGATCAAACTGGAGATGAGTAGAACTAAAGAAAAAAGGGATATACACATACGTCACAAATCATATAGGGTGTGTCTGCAAAAACCAAAGAAACATACCTTTAAAAGACAGGCTCTCCTCTATGATGCGTTTCGCACCAGTTGAGTAGGGAGACGGAAAGGGAGATTTAATAAGCACGGAAAAGATAACAAGCAAAAAAGGCATTGTTCTAACGAAATCCTATTTGAAAAAATCTTTGTGGTAAACTTTAAGCCTCAAATACAGCGAGATGTAACATACTAGGAAGTAAGTGATTTCTTAAGAAACAAAATGAGCTCGGTATAAAGTGACGCTTAATTCGGCATATGCGTCAATTCACACGCCCAGCACTCCAAAGTCTCAGTTCTTGACTCACGACGAAACACTTGAAAGATATATCTGAATCCGGAAAAAGATGAAGCATGTTACATGATGGTACGTTTTATATCTATACCTCAGCTTCAGCTTCAGATCGATGTTCTTATGCATAGAGACTTTCATATGAATATCATCGATGGCATAATTGCAATCACTTCTCCAAAGTTGACAAAATATATTAGTTAATCTGTTTGGAAGAAGCGAAAGCCAAATCCCCATATTACTCCGACCCACTGTAATCAGAGAGAATGAGACAGGTATACAAAAGCAGCAAGGGAATAAATGGTCATACGGGAAATACTTGATGGTAATAATTGTTATTTCACACAACTACCCATTAATAAGGAGCACAGAAAAAAAGATACGGAATGTTCCATATAAGTGGTCCAAACATCAACCACGTACATTCGTTGGGACCCACTCTAATTTAACCATAAATATGGTGGCTTCCTTCATGTTGCGACATTTTTTCATGCTTTTAGGACAGACAGCAAAC